CCACTGTTAATGGGAGCATTTCATGGATGCATATCTTAAGCTTTTTGGAGCATTTTCACAAGCTTCATTATCTTGCTTGATCCCCAGAGTAACTATACAAGAGCAGAAGAATCAGTTCTATTATCCCCATTTTACAGATGAAGAAAGTGAGGCTCAGAGAGCTGAATTCATCTTCCCCAAGGTTATACAGATAACAAGCTGAGAAGCCCGAGCTTAGATCCAAATCTTACTCTGGTCCAGATGTACCCTCCACTCTCACCCCATGACATCATAGCTCAAAACAATTTTTTCTATTTATGCGTCCCCAGGAAGTGAAATCTGCTTGGTAATGGGCTATCCATCAGGGAAATGGAAAATTTCAAAGAAAGCCAAAACCTTTAGCAAACTATAGAATTCTTAGTCATTGATCTAGACACAAAAGGCCCAGCAAACGGGATGAAATGCAGGACTATTTCTGGTTTGTTTTCTAAGCAAGCAGCGAAACCACTTATCCCCTACCCAGCTCGGCACAGTGAATAACGAGGAATGGAATGGCTGACAGGATGCCTTCTTCCAGCTGCTGGGGCGGGATCTGTAAGACCTTTGCATTAGGTGGAAAGGCCAAGAGGCATAAGGATCTGTCCTGATCACAGAGGAAAACCAAAAAGCAGTTGGTGACCCAGTTAGGCTTAATTGCTCTTAGGCTCCTCTGCCATCTGTGGGTACAGGAGGTGAGCTCTGTTCTGCCCATTCACTCACACTAATTCTGTCTGGCATCTCCATTCGCCTGTGTCCCAAACACAAGGGCCTTCAAAAAGGCAAAGTCCTATCTCCCACCTCTTGCTCAGTTGTCATTTACTTGTGCCTCCCAGATCTACAACATTTTCTATGCTCCCTTCAGTGCTCAATCGGGCTGATTCGGCCACTGTAGTTAGTGACCGGGTTTGCATGCTATTGCTGCACAAAGAGATGAATCCTGCTGTAATAATAATTCCCACGTAGAGAGCACTTTAGACAGAACGGACCATACAAAGCCACATTGTTTAGATACTGCTTTTCTAAAATCTGCTACTTTATCCTATCAAACTTCGTGAAAGTGATCAGTGGCTTCGGGTACACGCCCTCAATGACCTGGTAGGAGAACGGCCTTGAAGAGGTTGTGTTGGCAATTTCCTGAACCCCCGTGGGAGAGGTTGCCAAAACCTCCAGTTTAGACCCAAATGGGAGTCAGCATATGAGCAGGAAAAGACTGCTGGAGAAAAGTAGAGAACTGGAGAGACCCTTAGAAATCACCACGAAGAGTGACTTTCAAGTTGACTTCTCCCTGTAGAACTCCTTTGACCAGACAAATGCATGCCAATTAATTGAGGTGGCCACAGCCTCCCTCAACATCCCCCCTTCCTCCACTGGCGGCCCCTGACCTCCCAGGGAACATTCTTTGAGAGTTCTCCTGCAGGTCAGCTTCCTCTCTTTGTCAGGTAAGAAAATGGACATTCCAAGAGGCGAGGTGACCTGCTCAAAGCAAATGACAGGGACAGTGTTGTCCTAACAGCTTTCCTCAGTGGAGGTGGGACTTCAAAGGAGGAACAGGGATGACATTCTGGCTCCTCTTTCATCATTTCCATGTTAGTGCTTTTCTCCTGAGTGGAGACCTTCAGAACATCATCAGTTTGGTTCCTCTGGTTTGTTCTTCTCTGGTTTGCTCCCTTCTATTAGTGGAGATTAGCATGTTCCCTTTTTCCCCCTCCTTTGAGTAGAGGAAACTATCAGAGAGACCTTTCAAGAATACACAGAATCATCTACCGCAAAGCCTTCTCTTTCGTGAATCATAAACTAGACCTCCCAGGGACAAAACCCAGTCCTTTGCAGATGGTTGGGGGGCGCCCCTCACCTCTGGGTCCCCCCTGCTCTGCATGGGGCTCCTCTCTACCCGCTCCACCCTCGCCAGGGACTTCTCTTGTTGAATATATATCAAATAAAAAAGCAAGCAGTATGAACTAAAATGTCAGGATCCAAGAAAACTGGAAGACCAGATGCTTTAAAAAGCATTTTTGGAAGGCAAGAGTTCTTTTGACGAATGTTTTTAGACTGATTGCTCACTCTCCATCCATCACCAGTCCTTGTTTGCCTAGCAGGTCATTTATATGTGCCCAGAATCCCTGGGTAATGGGCATGCTGTAAAAATAAATGGAATAAATAAATTAGTGTTTGAAGTTCTAAAATAAATCCAGGTGAATTAGACATACGTAAAAATCACTCAGTCTTGAAGAGCAAAGTGGAGACTAATAAAATAAGAAATGGGCTCTTTGTTTTAAAAAAAAATAAAAAAGCAAAAAGAGAGAAGAAAAATCACTCAAAACTCATAAAAATTTTCCAGAAATAAAGATAATCGTATTTTCACAGGCATTGTTATTTCTGAGAGCTTGTCTTCCAACTGCCTTTTGCTGTAGCCTCATTTCACCTTATATTTCTAAAACTGTCCACTGACATTTGAATTCAGGTATTTTCAAAAGTAGAGTGAGTGATGGTTACTAGACAATTACTGTATATACCCCAAGAAAAGATAAGATTGTACCTCAAACAATTACCCTCAGAAAGAGGGAAGTAACCCAGATTTTCACATTTTTACCGTCTTTCCTAATATGAAGTTCATATATTTTGAATAAGAGGATTCTATTTTGGTTAGACACATGAACTAGAAACACACACACACTTGTATACCTGTAGCTACCCTTGGTTGAGACCTCACAATATACCAGGCACTGTTCTAAGCCCTTTATTTGCATTAACTGCTTTAATCCGCACAACAACCCTATAAACAATGTACTACTAGTATTATTATCATCCTCATTATAATATGAAGGAACTGCTAATTTTAGATTCTTATAAAGGCCACTTGATAAAATTGTTTTTTAAAGGGATAAGAGAAAAATACTACCTAACATTTAAAATGCATTGCACAATTAAGGTAGAGTATATTTAAAGCAGACATTTGCAGTCTACCCCTGTGTAAATTTATGTATTCAAGCTGGCCTAACTCACATTACTCTTTTCTAGATCTTACAACTGGGAAGATGAAGTGTGCGCTTGTAATTTGGATAATTTTCTACTTGGGGATAGTCAGTGATTGCTGAGCACCCACTACTAGTATGTATGGAAGACTGCCTTAGCAACTGTTGGGAAAACCAACAATGTGTGTCTGGATCTTTCCTTCAATCCAGTCATGGTCAAGACTAATACACACTCACACACACACACATTTACTGATAGTCAGACACACACACACACACACACACACACACACTCACATTTACTAATAATCACACGCTCCCACTCACACTTACCAGCCCTTCCTCCTCCCAGAGCTGGGACAGGGGTGAGGTGAGTGAGCCTCTCAGAGAGTGAGCACCTCCTAGGTGCCTCACTAGCCTCACGCTAACCCAGTCCTTGTCACCTCCCTCCTTAACACACACCACATACCACAATTAAATATAAAAAAATAGAGCTTGTCATGTTTTTAAATGAACTGACTGGAAAGTGCACAATGTCTGCAGGTGGTCAAAGTGAGAGGGTTTGTGTAGACTCATCAGTGAATTCTGATTAACAAGGGAAGTTGCCAAGTCAGTGAGCCTGGAGCATGAACATATTGAGGGAGAGGAAATGACTTCTTGCAGGAAGACAGCTGAACAGGAAGAGCTCATTAAACTGGGTTTGATGGACAGGAAGGAGAAAGCAAACGATTCCCCACAGCAATAGCAAGAATCTAAGGGCAGACAGTGATGAGATCTGCAAAGAAGAGAGCCCCAACCTCCCAGGTATTCCAAAACTGTCAGCGCCTCCAAAGCCTGCTGCTACTGAGTTATCTCAGCAGACAAGACACTCATTCATTCTTTACGGAGCGTCAATCATTCCACTGGGTGCTGGGGGTGCATAGGTGAGTGCAAAGCACGGATAGGTTCCAGTCTCACAGGAACAGATCCCGGGCGGGCTCAACAGGGTTTTCCCCATCATGGATCCCTAGTTTGAAATCTCTTACAGGAAGTCTTTCCCCATTTAAGCCCACATTAACTAATTCTGTATCTCTTCAAAATTTACATATGCAGTCTATCGGGTTTTTTTGTTTGTTTGTTTTTGTTTGTTTTTTTTAGCAAAATCCGTTTGCCAGAATTACATAAACTGGAGTCATTCTGAAATTAATAGTGGTCTCTATAAAATAAAACCCTCAAAATATCTTCCTTAGAAAAAAGCTAGGAGAGCTGGGATGAAACTTTAGAAGGTACAAACATTTTACTTTGGAATGAATGTTACCCTTCCTGATGATTAGAGGATGAGGCAGTTCGCATGGGATGAAATTGAGACTATTTCTTGTTGCCCCACATGAAGCTATGAAAGAGATGTGCTTTGTCTTAAATGGTGGGAATAGAGAAATGTAATTTAATGGGGAACATAACTGTGCAGTGGGGACTCATGCTTAAAAATACACAAAACTGATGGGAATTCATAGAAGCTAAGATAGTTTGAGTACGTATATCTAAAATGTTTAGAGCTTAAAAACATGGCCTGGCCGGTGTGGCTCGGTGGCTGAATTTACCTATGAACCAGGAGGTCATGGCGCAAGTCCCGGTCAGGGCACATGCCAGGGTTGCAGGCTTGATCCCCAGTGTGGGGCGTGCACGAAGCAGCCGATCAATGATTCTCTCTCATCATTGATGTTTCTATCTCTCTCTCTCTCTCTCTCTCTCTCTCTCTCGTTCTCTGAAATTAATAAAAATATATTTAAAAAGTTAAAATAAAAGCATGAATACTTTTTTTTGGAGTTTACAAAGGTTAGGCATGTCTCCAATTGAATATTTTACTAATCAGTATTTTACTAAATTTTGTAAGTTATGGAATTTGCATATGACTCCTATTGCACATGTGTGTATGCAAATAGTTGAACTCCTACAACTTGGGGGAGGGACACAGATTCAATATTAGTACTACTTTGAAGCCTTGAATAATCTTTTTTTTTTTTTTTTTTTACAGTAAGTCTATATTTTGGCTTGTCTCATAGAGGAGAAAACACCAAAATAGGTTAGACTTTGTTGCTATAGCAAGCTAAAATTGTGTCAGACAGTTTTGATCATCTGCTACAGAGGATTGCTTCCAATGATCATGGTTTTTAATTGCTGCTCTTCTTGTTTCTTAATAGCAAATTATTGTTTGTTTTTCTCATCATTATCAATTTAGTTTCTTGTGGGTTGTTTTTAACTCCACAGTATGTACTAATGAATAGTTAAGAATTTTTAGGCTATAATTTTCCAAAACTACTCTAGTATGTATGTACTGTGCTCAAGTATAAATCATCCACATCCTTATTACTAAAGCAAATGTATGCATATATCATCCCCCTATAATTTGCTAATGTGAGAACATTTTACTAGAAATGTGTGCAGTGCATGGAATTTTAGCATGCAAAATACTTACAATCTACCATCAAAGTAAACCTAACACAAGTATTAAGTTATTTTACATTTGCATGATATTGTTTTAAAATAAAGAAGCAAACATATGAGCTAATGGTTTAATCTATTTTTTTAATATATTTTATTGATTTTTTTACAGAGAGGAAGAGAGAGGGATAGAGAGTTAGAAATATCGATGAGAGAGAATCATCGATCAGCTCCCTCTTGTATCACCCGAGAACTGCAGCTACCAAGTCATTGCAGCTCAGCAGCTCCTGCGCTGAGTGTCTGCCCCCTAGTGGTCATTGTGCATCATAGCTACAGGTTGGATGGTCAGATGGTCACTTAGGCTTTTATATCTATGGATTATAAGCATTTAATGCATTTCCCTCCAGATTTTGATTGACTGGGGTAAGTTAAAAATATAAATCATTACTCAAGGTCAATATTCCCCAAACTGTGTTCTACCAGATGTTAATAGGTGTTCTGCAAATAATGGATTTTTTACTCAGATAAGTTAGAAGAAAGCAATATACATATATTGTGTTTCCCTTTTAGAGGTTTGCAAGGACCTATAGCATATTGTAAGAGTTAATTGTAAGTGTCAACTGGGATAAGCCACAATACCTAGATATTTGATCAAACACTAGTCTGGATGTTGCTGTGAAGGTATGTTTTACATGAGATTAACATTTAAATCAGTAGACTTTGAATTGTTCTCCATAATAGGCCTGTTCAAGCAGATGAAGATCCTAAAGACTGACTTCCTGTGGAAGAGGGAATTCTCCCTGAAGGCTGTCTTTGGAATCAAACTGCAACATCGACTGGGTCTGCAGCCTAGTGGCCTACTTTGAAGATTTTGTTTGCCAGCCTCTACAATGATGTGAGCCAATTCCTTAAAATAAATCTCTATGTAAATGATAGACAGCTAGATAGATATATAGAGACATATGCATAGATACATATGTATAGCTGTAGATATATACTACCCTGTTTCCCCGAAAATAAGACAGTGTCTTATATTAATTTTTGCTCCCAAAGATGCGCCAGATCTTATTTTCGGGGGATATCTTATTTTTTCATGAAGAAGAATACGGTACACATTTATTGTTAAATGAAAATAAAGGAAATTTATTACCTGTATATGGTACGATAGTATGGTAGTTGTCAACACAAACCAGACAAACTGTGAATCCTACAGTATCAAGAATTTACTCATTTATTCAATGACAATCATGTCATCATCTTCTGGAACATCATCGTAACAATCCAATTCCTGAATTTCCTGGTGAATTTCTTGTGACTCCATTTCTTTCAGAATCAGTATAGACCAAATCTCTCATGTTTAGCCTAGGGGGGCCTTATTTTTGGGGGGATGCCTTATATTTCACTCAGAAGGAAACCTGTAAGTAGGTCTTATTTTCGGAGGATGTCTTATTTTCGGGGAAACACGGCATGTGTTATATTTGTATATATGATAAAAAAAATATATACATTCTATATTAGACCTCATGTATACATATATGAGGAAGAGATTACACACACACACATTCTACTGGTTCTGTTTCCCTAGAATGAATACTCATATTAAAGCTCTGAAAAATTCTGCAATTTAAAACACTACGTGAACTGAGTATTTTCCCAGTCTATTTAACCACAAAACATTTTTCATACAACCCCTACTAATATCTCAAAATATAGCTTGGGAAATGCTTTTCTCAAGACTACCTTAGACAGAGGCTGATGTGTATCCTTTGTCTGCAACCACAGATTCTAAGCCCACCTGATTCAGAAACTAATAACATAAATATTGGAACAAAAGATTTCACGTGCCCTTTTCTCTGCACGGGGCATAGGCAGAGGAAAATAACCCCGTGTTATGCAAGCACAATGAGCTGCAATGTCCATTGTGGAGCGAGTGTCACACGCAGTGATCCCTGATGAAAATATGTTCCGGTGTAACAGACCCCACACTGTGCTTTTGTAAGACGCTCTTTGTGGATATTCCTGGGGACCGGAGAGTCATACGGAAATGTCATCCCACCTCCGCGCAGCAGGGTACAAGGCAAGGCAGGAATGGTAGGAGCCCAACAAAAAAGGCCTGCTCTGTCTCCTAAAGAGCCTCAGGCCTCCTTTGTCTCTTATTGTCCCTTCTGAAATGTGTTTCTTCCAAAGGTCCTCACTGGTCCCAATTTATGCTTCAGGTCTTATCCTAGAAGCCACTTCCTCCAGAAAGCCTTTTCTGACTGACACCCCTCCTGCCTCCGCCCTGAACCCACCAGGGCAGCCCACCTTTTCCCTGTTAAATGCATTCAAACACCACGTGCCTCTCTCTGCACTGGACGCTCCATCATTTGTTTTGTAATCCCTGACTCCCTTACAAGACTGTGAGGCCCATGGGAACAGGGGACATGTCCAGCTTGCCGTTTGTCTCAGCAGCCCTAGTGCCTGGTGATTCGTCCACATAAAGAACCAAATGATTGAAGGGAACTTTCCTCTCCCTAACTTTCCTCATGAGTCTATATAAATTATCCTTTCTTTGTAGGGAAATCCGAGTGCTGATCTCTCTCTAAGGATCTTCAATCTTTCAACCTATAAAAAAAAAGTCTGTGTCGAGTCCCTGAAATGTTCATATATATGTGTATACATATATTTGTGTATACAAGCATATACATGTTTGCATCCACACACACGTACATCTATACATTCATTCACTCTTGCAAAAATAATAAAAACAATGATTTTTCAAGCACAATAGTGTGAAGATATGGGGAACACAGCGGGCTATAAGTACGTGGAATGGGAGGGACCGATTCCAATTACAGCTGTTACCATTTTGGGGGTTCAAGTAAAATCATGCAAAAGTTTTCAAACCTATAAAAAAGAAAAGCAGGGGCTCAGTCTAATTCTAGGATCGGTTCCTTCCCCTGTCCCCAGGTGCCATTTACCCAGCCCTGGTGCTACGCTTCAGAGTGTATGCTGAACATGGGTTTCTCTTACCAGAATAATCACCAGAAACAAAAGCAGTATGAAAAGTAACATACTGGCTTTCATTTCAGAAGATTTGGACAAGTATTTGGAGGGGGGTTGTAGGTAAGGATTGAAGATGAGTGTGACACCCAGTGAACACGTGGCTCCACTCTCCCTTTGCACCCTCCAACATCCTTTCTGGACCCTCGGCTACTCACTTGGCAGAGAGGGGCCAGAATAGCAAAGATCTTGAAGCTGACACCCTCTCCTTCCAGCCTTACCCCCAGAGGCAGAAAGCCTCTGCTATCTAAAGTTGCCATTTGAAGTAGTGTCTTCTGAAGTTGCCAAGGTGGATTATCCCCCGACAAGATTCACATGGAGGGTTCTTCTGTGACTCCCTCTTCTCTTAAGTCTATAGAGAAGTCTCCTCCAATCCAGTCCTGGCATGGAAGACCCAAGACGTGGAGAAGCTGATGCATCGCTAGCTGATAGGAAACCTCAAGCATGAGCAAGCAGTTCTCTGAGTATCCCTCCCCGTTTCCCGCTCCATCCCCCACCTGTACTTGGGACCAGGGAAATCTATGCCAGAACTTCTAAAATATGCTAAACAAATTTTCATACTTTCAAAAATTTGGGCTCCCAGTCCAAAGCTTCATTTTTGGTATAAGAAATGGATATTGATTCACAGTAACCTCTCACTTTTTACACTGTGGGGGCTATTTCTTAACTTGCCAGAGCCAAAGCATGCTTACCTTAGCATCTGTGTATATTTGCTCATTGATAACCTCTTAACTAGGAATAGGCCACATGCTAAATTGAAAAATTTTTTTAAAGTAAATCTTTATTGTTCAGATTATTACAATTATTCCTATTTTTCCCCCCATATCTCCCCTCTACCTGGTTCCCACCCCACCCTCTGCCCGTGATCCAGAGTCATCGAAAGACAGGATGCTTTTAACAAAAAGGCTTTCTAGAAGAGTAAAGTAGAAGGGATCTCAATACCAGATTTCAAGCTGTATTACAAAGCCACTGTTCTCAAAACAGCCTGGTACTGGCATAAGAACAGACATATAGACCAATGGAATAGAATCGAGAACCCAGATATCAACCCAAATCACTATGCTCAATTAATATTTGATAAAGGAGGCACAAATATACAATGGAGTCAAGATAGTCTCTTCAATAAATGGTGTTGGGAGAAACCAAGATGGCGGCATAGGGTAGACACCCGAATGCAGCCTACCACAACAAATTTGAATTTAGAACTGGAAAACAGGGGAGGCATTGCCCTGAAGTACTGGACGGCTAGCTGAGAGGAGGCTCTGCCATCTAGGAAGGAGAGAGAAGGCATGCTGAACCTCAGAAACTGTGAAGGTACGGAGAACTGTGTGCACAAAAAGGATGCTGGCTTAATCCCGGCACTCAGAGAGGAAGAGCCGAAAGTGCTGCTGGCTTTCTCCCTGCGCGCAGAGAGGGTGGACCACAATCATGCAGCTGGCTTTCTTGTTCGAAAGAAAAACAGAATCACCCTATTGCTCTGATAGATGCCCCCTATAGGGAGAGGCCAGACTGTCAGGCAGCGGGCAGAGATCTCTTTGAGGTGTGTGAAGCCAGAGGCCATTACTGCGGGACTTGGGGAGGAGCCGACGGGAAAACAAAGCTTGTCTGCACCACCCCGAGACTCTGCCCCATTCAAGCTGAGCACAGAAGCTCTCCCAGAGGCTGGCTTTCTCTGAGAAGGGACTGGCCAGAATCCAAAGCTTGTCTGCGCCTTCACCAAAGAGGTGCGCGAGCCTGCAACAAATCTTCCGAAACTCACCACAAACAGGACTTCTAAGGTGAGACTGACAGGGAACCAAAGATTGCCTGCACCACCCCGAGACCCCACCCCATCCAAGTGGAGTATAGAAGCCTTCCTAGCTGAGACACTGCTGAGCCCCACAGTCAATTGGCTTGGAGATCAACACTTCCCGGTGATAAGCAAGGCTTAACAACAAGACTGCACACATAGCCCACAAAGGGCTATACCAAGACTGTCCCAGGTAACTGGGAAGGCTGTGCTACTGGGCTCTATCAGAACACCTAATACACAAAACTATTCCTTCAAATCAGGAAAACAACTAAAATGCAGACAAGGCACAGGACATAAAGGAAGGAGATGGAGGAAAAGAAAAGAATGGACATTAAGTTCAAAACCACTGTTATAAGGCTGTTCAATAATATCCTTAAAAAAGGCCAATAAAATAAATGAGACCTATGAGGATATGAAAAGGGAGCAACTAGAAATAATAAGGGATCAACTAGAACTGAAAACATTGTCTGAAATAGAAAATATTACACAGAGTCCTAAAAACAGACTGGAAGATCACAAGAATCAAGACAAAGATTTAGAACACAAAGAGCCAGAGGACACTCCTCTGCAGAAGCAAGAAGGCAAGAGAATCCAGAAAGTTGAAGATAGTGTAAGAAACCTCTGGGACAATTTCAAGCGAACCAACATCAGAATTATGGGGGTCCCAGAAGATCAGAGAGAGCAAGATATCGAAAACATACTGAAAGAAATAGTGACAGAAAACTTCCCCCACCTGGTGAAAGAATTAGACCTACAAGTCCAGAAAGCACACAGAACCCCAAACAAAAGGAATCCAAAGAGGACCACACCAAGAAACATTATAATTAAAATTCCAAGAGCAGCCAGGACTGGTTTGGCTCAGTGGATAGAGTGTCAGCCTGCGGACTGAAGGGTCCCAGGTTCGATTCCGGTCAAGGGCATGTACCTTGGTTGCGGGCACATCCCCAGTGGGGGGTGTGCAAGAGGCAGCTGGTCGATGTTTCTCTCTCATCGACATTTCTAACTCTCTATCCCTCTCAATTCCTCTCTGTGTAAAATCAATCAAATATATTTAAAAAAAAAATTCCAAGAGCAAAAGACAAAGAGAGAATATTAAAAGCAGCAAGAGAAAAGCAGGTAGTTACTTATAAAGGAGCACTGATACGATTGTCAGCTGATTTCTCAACCAAAACCATGCAGGCCAGATGGGAATGGCAAGAAATATTCAAGATAATGAATAGCAAGAACCTACAGTCAAAAATACTCTACCCAGCAAAGCTATCACTCAGAATAGAAGGCCAGATAAAGAGCTTCACAAATAAAAAAATAAAAAAAAGGAGTTCATCACCACCAAACCAGAATTATATGAATTGCTGAAGGGGGTTATTTAGGAAGAGGAAGAAGATAAAGATAAAAATTATGAGCAGCAAATACGTAACTATCAACAAGTGAAACTAAAAACCAAAGGAATTAAAAAATCTGATGAATATTAACTTTTGAATATAATCGAATCAGAGGTATGGAAGGGGAGTGGACTGGTGATTCTCGGGGAAAAGGGGAGTGGGAGTGGGGGAAGAGACAACAAAAACTGTACACCTATGGATGAGGACAATGGGCAATGGGGAAAGGACAGGGTAAGGTGGGAACCTGGTGGAGGGGCGCAATTGAGGGGGGGTGGTAAGAGGAACACATTTGTAATAATCTGAACAATAAAAATTTATTAAATTTGAAAGAAAAAAAAAGAGAGAGAGAGTTGGGAACTGAATACACCAAACTATATGAACCAACAAGAAAGAAAAAAAATGGGGAAATGGTACATTTTCTGAATAAATAAATAAAAATAAATAATAAATAATAAATGGTGTTGGGAACATTGGACAGATACATGCAAAAGAATGAAACTAGATCACAAACTTACACCATACACAAAAATAAACTCAAAATGGATACAGGACTTAAACATAAGACGGGAAACCAAAATACTAAAGGCATCCACAGGAGGCAAAATCTCAGACATATGCCAAAAGAACTTCTTCACCGATACTGCCCCTTGGGCAATGGAAGCTAAAGAGAAAATAAACAAATGGGACTATATCAAAATAAAAAGCTTTTTTACAGCAAAAGAAACCATCAACAAAACAACAAGAAAGCTCACTGTATGGGAGAACGTATTTACAAATGTTATCACTGATAAAAGTTTAATCTCCAACATCTACAGACAGCTTATACAACTAATTAAAAGGAAAATGATCCAATTAAAAAATGGGCAATAGACCTAAATAGAATATTTTCAAAAGACAGAAGGGGAAGGCCAAGAGGCACAATAAAACATGCTCACAGTCACTAATTATCTGAGACATGCAAATCAAAACAACAATGCGGTATCATCTCACACCTGTCAGAAGGACCAACATCAACAAGTCAACAAATGACAAGTATTGGCGAGGTTGAAGAGAAAAAGGAACCCCCGTGCATTGCTGGTGGGAATGTAGACTGGTGCAACCACTGTGGAGAACAGTATGGAGTTTCTTCAAAAAACTGAAAATGGAACTCCCATTTGACCCAGTAATCCCACCCCTAGGAATATATCCCAAGAAACTAGAAACACCAATCAGAAAGGATATATGCACCCCCATGTTCATAGCAGCACAATCTATAATAGCTAGGATTTGGAAACAGCCTAGGTGCCCGTCAGTAGATGATTGGATCAAAAAACTATGGCACATCTACACAATGAAATACTATGCTGCCATAAAAAAGAAGGAATTCTCATCATTTGCAGCAACCTGGATGGAATTGGAGAACATCATGCTGAGTGAAATAAGCCAGTCAATGAAAGAGAAATACCACATGACCTCACTCATTTATGGATAATAAAGAACATTATAAACTGATGAACCAAAAAATAGATATAGAGACAGTAAAGCAACAAGCAGACTGTCAAATTACAGCGGGGAGGGTAGGGAGATCTGGGGGAGATAAGAGATCAACTGAAGGACTTGTATACATGCATATACGTACAACCAATGGACACAAAACTCTGGGGAGGGTGGGTATGTATGGGGGGGGGGCAGCAATGTTAAAATATGTACACAGATAATAATTTAATTTAAAAAAATAAAATCAAAACAAAAACAAAAATGCTTTCTAAAACACCACCCCATTGATGAAAACATTAATTGAAGAATACCTTTCCAGATTCAGAGCCCAGGCAGGGCACACTGCCTCTCATCTCACGTGCATAAAATTGTTCTCCACTCAGTATGAGATGTCCACTTGGGGCCATACATACAGAGTGTCATTTCTAAAAGTGGAAGATAAAGGTAGGGCCACCAGAAGCTACACACACACACACACACACACACACACACACACACACACACACAAATTTGCAAAAACATGCTTAGGCATACTCGTTACAAATGCATTCTTTGGCTTCTCAGAGAAGCCACTTGAAGGTCACCTCCACTTAAAATCCTTGGCTGGAGAGCTCCTTGTTGCTTTATCACCTCAATCTATTAAAATTCTAAGAATAACTGATGACGAAAATTCCAGCTATATTTTTAAATCTCTGAGGAGTCAGGGGAGAAAAACCAACACATGAGTCTATTTGAAATCATTTTATGAATTTTAATCATAGCAAATGTGTTTTAACAGTAGTCATAAAATCAACATTACCACATATACAAAGGACAAGACACCAGTTTGGCATACAAAAATACCATATATTAAAATTGGGTTCGTTGGAAAAACGCAGGACTTGCTAACACACCATCTACAACAGAGAGCAAGCAAGAATGCTTTCAAGACATTCAGATTTATAAACAGCAGCTTGATATCCCCCTTATGAAGTCAATATTTGGCAACATTTGGACAATATTTCCCACACAGCCCAGCAGCTCATTTATCTGTAGGGCGATTCAGCCCTTTAAAAGAAAAGCTCCTAAAATAAATAACACACATAATTTTAAATGAAACATGTCAAGGACTTGAGTGAACAGCCTCTACTCAGCATTAATCTAGCCATTTGACTGGAGTATTAGTTATCCAGAAGCCCGAGAACCCACCAGTGGAACCATAATGGCAGGAACCCCGTGGAGCAGCTGCATGGCTTATGTAGGGAGTTCTTAACCACCCCATGCTGAAACCAGCCTCCCACATGCATTTGTCAAGTGGGGCAAACAGGAACAAGTGATGGAAGAAAAAATATAATAAATGACAACAACCAGATAGAAACCGAATATTCTCGAAAGAGTCTTTCCAATAGTATCAACCTGTTCAAGTCAGGATACATCCATAGGTATAGGCATTGCATTCCATGGCTAAGATGTGATTAGTGTTTGTCTATGACTCAGCAACCAACTCTAGAGCAGGCTCTGAAGTTGTCCAGGATGCTCACAATGCGTGTTCAATTTAAACATCCTGAATTGAATTTGGGAGATCACACTGGAATGGCCAATTGTGCTTGGCAATTATTTCCCAATTTCTTTCAGCTGAAACCTGCCATGACTGACCGCCAGCTCCTACACAATTTGTGTTGGAGCTATAATCCCATTACAGGTTTTCTTCCCCTTTATGCTAGTCAGATCTGTCCACCTTTTGCTCTAGACCCAAGGCCACATCTCCATCTCCCCCACACAGGATCTACTTCAGCGTTACCCCTCAGGTAGGAAAACCTGAATAGGAATTATCTGAAGCAAGTGCAAAATACCAGCTAATGCACCCTCTCACTATGTAAACAGAGATGACATGTTAACTCCGTCCCCTTTAAGGGGCATTTGCCTCATCTATTTCCTTCCTCTTACAGTCGAGGCTTCTTCACCACCATCATATCAAACCTTCTACTTCTGGATTCTCAAAAAGCAAATGTCAAATTAAAAACTGAGCATACCTTTGGAAAACTCTTGGTAGAACAGCTCAATAACTCACACCCCAGGGAGGTCACAGAAGACTTTCACGTGGGCTGCTAGCCCTACATCCCAAAGTGATGAGTTCAGAGTGGTGCTCTAGAACAGGAACGGCTATAGAAAACACTCCCAGAAAACAAATAGAGTACATGCTGTTGCAAACTTCAAGAGACCCCTCAGTACTTTACCACAAATATTACTGATTGTCCCTAAAAAAGGTCATAGTATGAATAGTATCAAAAACCTTAAGCTAGAATAATAAAGTCTAGTTAATGAGATGAGTGTTTTCAAGCACCACTACACCATAAGTGAGATATACATAGTGGGATATCCCAGGCAGTGAATCCTGAAAAAATAAAAAAATAAATGTCATTGGCTCAACTAAGCAAGGAAACCTGTGCAGAAAAATCAGAGCCACATTCTAAGATTTCAGGAAAAATAGTGCTCTACCCAAGACCATTTGAGCAAAACCAAAGAAGTATTTTTGGAAGACAGAAATTAAATTCCCCACCTGCTTATGGTCTTCAATCATCAATAGATTTCCAATAAAATGTATGCAGAATCCACCTCTTCCTAAATTTGAAAAGTCTCAAGATTTTGGTTACATAGACATTCACAAAAGTGGATAGTTTGACGTAACGTAAGTCGTCAATACGATTTACTAAGATATTGACATCTAAATTCAACATTGTATAACCCACAAATTGGAAACATGACAAACAACATTTTTACTCTTATTACCATTAAATTGTGTATCTACATATATATCTATTACTTATATCTGAATTGTCAGAAAAATCAATGGCTTAAATATCCACTTTTAAGAAGTGTTTCATGTTGAACAAAATTCAGCAACTAATCATCATCACTTTTGAAGTAGACTACTATTTTTAAAAGTTACCGAATTACCTTGACTATCTCACTCTTCGTTGGAGTTTGATTTGGTAAGTATTCTGTGGGAGATATTTTACTGACAATGATGGAAATGGTAAGGAACAGCTCCTTTCTTCTAGGTCAAGGATGACAGAGCAACTGACTGATGACTCGTCTGGTGTGAAAACAAAATGCTGACGGATTAGCAGCAGCATTTTTCTCAGAGAAGAAATTCAAATCTTTTGCATATCACTCCTCCAACAACTTTTGCACCTCTAACTTCCTTGTAAGTCTAAAGAAAAGCTATCATTTTGGCAAAAATAATTTTTAGTAACTTTCAAAAACAAGCTAAAAAGAGAATGGTCAATGCCCATTGATGAGTTATTTTGGGTGGGGCGAGGCAATCAAGGGGGCCCTGCTTCAAGTCTGCTAATTAGAAGCAAATGTATTTGGTTTACATTATATTCTAAAAATAATTAAAAATAATTAAAAATTAAGCAATTTTTTTTGACACAGCATAGGTTTTCAAATAAAGCTATGAGAACTTTTTAAATCAAAATTTAGAGTGGAATAATGTACTAGGCAGGAAGAGTCTAATATATATATACATACATATATATATATATATATATATATATATATATATATATATAATCTCAAACTGAGTTTTCTGCTTCCACTTACTCACTGAAAAAGCAATATTAGTCACTTCCATGGGTAATATTTTTAACGTTAAAAAAAAAAAAGTGTCTTTGTGCCAGGCTGCAAATCTTCTATTCTTTCCATGATAACAAAAATAAAACGCAAGATTAAACAACGACAAATCTGACCCTAAAAATAGTACCTATGTTTTAGTCTGGCAAATGAAAAATGATGCCCACAAATGCCCACACCACATACAATAATAAGCTGGAAGACTTCAAGGGCAAACAAAAACAGTCTTATAAGCACGTGATACATGCTTGCTCTTACACCTCACACCTTACTAATGCAGCAGTGAAATCTGGGTAAGATGCTGGAAGTGAAGAGAGATTTCATGAGGCTTTTTTTCCCCCCCAGTTAACATTTACTTTTTGGCCATAAGACCCTAAACACATTTTCACAGTTACAGGTCATGCATAACTTGCAAGTCGAATGTTTTACAGCTACGGTGCAACTACTATTTTTGGACAATAAATTCACATGCAGCAAATAATCCCAGAAAAGGGACTTCATAAAGCACTCTTTAAGCTTCACTGGTCGTGCCTTGATTCAAAGTATCCAAGTAATAACCCCAAAGGGCAATCAATGAATTTTTACTATCATACTTGAGATCATATACTTTTAAATCCAGAAAGGTTTGTTTTTTAGCCAACTGCATGTCACTACTAAACCACAAACTGTCTTAACCTTACTCTGTTACTTTTAACACTGATGCTAGATACCACTGCACAACCATCCAGAATTGTGCTATCCAATGATTCAGCCACTAACCAAATGAGTTACTAAATTTAAATAACTTAAACTTAAATACTAAAACACAAAATCTAGTAGTTCAGGAAACTAACCCTATTTCAACTGCCTATAACCTATGTGGCTAGTGGCTACTGCATTGGACTGCATGGGCTACATAACATTTCCATCATCACAGAAAGTTCTACTGAGCAGTGCTAACCTAGAAGATCCCAAGGGCTGCATCCCCATTGGTTTAACCTTCGAGGGATCCACTACTCAGTTGTGAGCAAGATTAAATTTAATTATACATTTAAAGAAAATACCTTAAAGCTTTCTGATCATAAAGTATGACTGGAACTAAGAAATGATTTGCCTTTTCATCACAACTTATGCTCCAGGTTATAGTAAAAAAAAAAAAAAAAAAAAGTTCCAAAGACAATGCTTTTTGATAGCCTACTTGGCTCTACCCAACATATTAAGCATTCTCTTGCTTATGTCAAGATCATTAATAAAGGTGAAAACTCATGCTTCTTTTACATTACTATTTACACAACACTTGTCCTTTACACAAAAGGGAAAAATGGAGGGAAACAAATGGCTTGCAATTTTAAAAATTCAAATGAGATGGTTTCTTTTAAACTTCTGTACTCATCCCCTATCAACCTTCCTTTCATTTCCAAGAGAGGTAGATGCTAACTGAAATGAATATCAGTATAGAAAGCTACACAGACACACAGACACACTTTAAAGCAAGAGTTGAGCTAGTAAAGGGTATTCATCCAACCTGCAGAAGTTCCTGCATAGCAGTTGACAGGCCTAGGAAGGAGAAGTGCAAAGTTCTTATCTCCCTTTTGCTGCAGAATTCCAAGCAGCTCTGTCAGTCTGCGGGCCTCAATGGACTCACCTACAAATGAAGCCACTGGAGGTTGCTTTCAACTCTAACTTTCTGTGCTTTCAGTTGTGACTTTTTCATTGATATGCAACTGTAGATTGTGGCTGATTGTGCCACTGGACTTTGGTCACATGGGTAGTGTTATGGGTTAATGCCAGAAGAGGCCAGAGCAATGGGATGTCAAATACCATTAAAACATCAAGTCTATGAACATTCTATTTGGCAGGCTGACATCACACACACACACACACACACACACACACACACACACACACCCTAACAAACAGGTGCACAAGTAACTGTAGACAGAATTCATTCAAACAGTGTGTTGTTTTTTTGTCAGTAAGACTCACAGAAAATTCTGCTTTGGGTTGTTATTGTTATCCTAGGTTGTAAAGTCAAGATCCTATCACAGAGCTGATTAACTTTGCACTGCTTCATTGCAGTCTAGCATCGGATTGTTTTTAAGTAACAGTTATGTGAATGGTAACTTGACTCAATATTTTTACACTAAGAAACACAGGGCGCTGTACTGTCACATACTTTAGATTTAGAGTCTATATATAACCTACTTAACACATAGAAATCTATCAAATACTACACTACACAGCTGATCATTTCTTACTGTACATAAACATATGCAGATATCACTTACAAAATTAATTGGAATATGGCATGGCTTAAAATTGCAAGGGTAAAGTCCATTTGAAATGTAGTGTTCTTAATGCAACATTTCTGTATTTTTGGTGTGTTATTTCCCCAAAAAAGGAATAGAAATTGGGTCAGATGTGCATTACAGCAGCCTGGTTCAGTTGGAGAAATAGACACTAACCCAACAGTATATTATGTTACATAATAGAGGATAGCATTCAGCTAATATGATACCTAAATTATTAATACCAAATAAATCCTAGATTTGTTGTATAATGCCCAATGGCTTGCACAATAAAATGGCATTTTAACCTAATATCTAGTTTGAGCTTTCAAATACATTTCCTAAGGGTCTTACAAAAAATTTGAAAGATTTGAAAAGCTCGAGTTCATTTTTTTTTTTTAATTGAATCCTCACATCAATGAACAGTGTTGGCTCTGGATTCTAATCATTATATTGTCATTTTATCTCTCCTAATTTCCACCCCTTTAATGTGCATGTTTTGTGCTGCTTGAAGGTCTTAGTTAGCATATAAGTAAATTAAACTGTCTCCATCTTGGAGGGTTCTTTCCAGCTTTGCTTTTTTTTGGAACCAGTCACTGCTAATCTTCCTCTCCCCTATTTTCATGGATTCAATGGAACATAAACATATATATTTAGGAGAGGAGTCCTTGTCACGTATCACTTGCTTCAGGAATGTCATAAAAGAAATTAGATGAGGACTGTAAAGCTCACAGCTATTTCCACACGCCACACACCCAGCATAGGAATTCGTCACTTCATCTAGCAAATCTCTCTTAAGAGTTTAGGATGAACTGGTCCATTTAAATTGACAATGTGAGTTGTAGGTTTATCTCACCACTTTTCTCAATAAAAACACATTTCCAGATACAAGAGATACTCTTATTTATACAACAAAAGGAAACTGGAATTCAGAATGATTCAACTCTCATGGGACAATAATCTCTTTCAAAAAATAACTGTGGACTATCTATTAACATGCCAGTCCAGGTTTATCACTGGTTAACAACACTTGTGACTATTATAATATCCCCAAACTGGGAGAAAAGACAGAAGGTTCTGTTACTCTCTGTTTGTGCCTCACAAGTCGACTGCACAAAAGAGGAGCAGGTGTTGGAAGTGACGAGTGTGTGACTCCTCACTGGGTGGGTCCCAGTGCCCAGGAGGTAGGTGGCACCATTTCAGACCCTGCACTCATTCATGCCTACTGAGTCTCTCTACCAAGAGTCTTCTGAAAAGATTCAATACCCGAGGTAAACCAAATTACACACACATATAAATACACAATATTTACATTGAAAATTCTTATTTTGTGAAATGGCTTGAGAAAAATTGGCATATAGTTTTCATGTGGGATTAGGCATTTCTCATCATTACTCAGTTTATGGCTCCCCTGTTGAGCTTTCCACTTAATAAACACAACATTGAGCTCTAATTACAAGGGAAGAAAAATGAAGGAACACGACAAACAAAACACAACACATTGGAAACATTGTTCCAATAGTTTCTTCAAAAAGCGACGGTCCGCTTAACTTGGCTTAATTCAGGCGCCATGTATTGTAGTATTAAAAAAAAAAGCCTTAGCAACTAAGTGAAGACTGGGTTTCATCTGTCAAAGGAAAGAAATCAGCACTGCCAGTCATCACTGCACTGGTCATGGATTCATTCTCAGGTTGGATTCTACTTGTACACACATAGCATCTTGGTTTTCATCTACCACATTTAGAGAAGATCACACCGTAAGCACTTGCACAGTTCGACATCTAAGTAGACTAGGTCTATCTCACCACGAGACTTTGGGGAAAAAAATCATTAAGTTACAGTCCATTTAATAAGTGACTACGAGGATGCATGCAATCGTCTTCGAAGCTACTGCCACCGCCATCTATGCTCAGAACGACCCGTCTGGCATCTGGCCGAGACCTCCCCTTTCGCCCCCTCCGTGTCCGTCTCGGGTTCATCAAGTGGCAGCCCCGGAGGCCAGCGCTCGGCACCAAAGGATCAGCGTCGCCCCCACCTTCTCACCGGAGTCCCATCATCAACACCTGCTCCACCCCGAGGTGGCGCCCGCCAGCCCCGGCCCCGCGGCCCGCTTCAGCCACAGGATATCACAGTGAAGCGCTTGGAGATGCAGGACATGTTGTGCAGCACGATGCCCAGCAGGAAGACCAGGACGCAGGCCACCAGGATCACAGTGCACACCCCGGACCAGGTGGAGCTCTTCACCGCGCCCCGCCGGTCGGGCTCCTCCTCCGCCGCCTCCGGGGGAGACCCGCCTTGCAGAGGCTGCTGCTCCGCGGGAATGGTCACCACCGTGACCGGCTTCTGCTGGCTCCCGGGCAGCAGGCGGCAGCCCATGCTTCCGGGCAGCAGCGCGCGCTCCTTGGGGATGGGGAGGGGCAGCATGTAGCACCCGTTGCTGGGGAGTTTGATGAAGACCGGGGTGTGCTCGGAGGCGTGCGGGATGGCGATCACGGCGAGGACCTCGGGGTCGTCGGGGAGCTGGGACACGGTGAAGCCCGGGGGCAGCTTGGTGATGCCTCGGCACCAGGGGCACCTCACGTCCTTCTGGCTCGTCCTCATCTGCTGAAGGCACACCGAGCAGCAGGTGTGCTTGCAGTCCAGTAACTTGGGCCTTCGCCGGGGGCTGTAATAGTTGAAACAGATCTGACACTCCAGCAAGGAATCTTGGGAGAGCGTCTCCATCTTGGACGGGGGAACAGGGAGGTCAAGGCCACAGGGAAGAAGCTTGCTCTCAGAGGCCACTGCTCCGGCACCTGCCTGCTCTGAGGCTTCCTGACGTGGTGCGGTGATCCGGGAGCTCACTGGCATCGAGCATGCTCAGGTGGGTTCATTTCTGAAGAAGACAAAAAATTCAAAGTTAGCCACTTCAAACAAGCTGGGAGAGCAACATATCTGATGGATTTACGCCACTGCTCAAACGTCCTGACACTAGGTCAGAAGCTTAAAACTGCCCCACCTGTGAGACTGCAGGATTCCCATAATGTCCAGTGGCCGGTGAATGGCTTGTCATGGCAAATACTTAGCTCATTTCTAAAGGCACGGATGCCTCTGGGGTGGATGGGTACATAAAGGGGGGGAGACTGTTTGTTTTGTATATTTCAGTGGACCTGAAATATACGGTGGATTTCAGTGGATTATTCTTCTAATACATCAGAGAAACTCTCTTGCTTCCACTAAGTTTGCAGCATTTCCTAAAAGTAAATTTCTTTCCTTAGATCTTCTGACCTTTCCCTGACTCTCCTCATCCTCCTGTAGATACTCATTGCCAAACCAGGCAACTTTACAACCTAGGAACTTTGTGTAACTAACTTGCCACTTTCTATGGGTTAGGCCTGTTCCTCCCTCATAAGTCATTGGAATGATGCCAAGAACACACACACACAGGCATCTGTTATCTTTTCCACCAAGTTCTTTGAACCATAGTAATTCTTGTTCATTGGTTTCAAAAGAGACAAAAACAAAACAAGACACAAAATCTAAGACACAACAACCAAAACCACCGACAGCAATGACCCTTCAGGCAGCCGGGGTCACAAAGGCACACGTGACCACAAATATTTTTCAGGCAGTTCTATTCATCTCGCTCTTACTTAGGCTTGTACCAAGTAACATGACCACAAGCAAAGACTATTAATGAACTGATCCTAACCAAGTATTGTATAGTGAAAGGTTGTCAGAAGACTGGCAGGCAGGCTTCACCATTTAAAAAAAAAAAAAAAAAAAAAAAGGAGCACAGTGTTGGCCTCCTGGAAGGCACCAGCAGCAGGGTCACTGGGTAACACTTAACTGGAAGTCCACCCACACACAGAGGCAGCAAACGATATAGAAAAGCTCTTTCATGTTTTTTTTAAAAAGTGAACCTTCTTTTTCTTTTCTTTAAAATATATTTTTATTGATTATAGAGAAGAAGGGAGAGGGAGAGAGAGATAGAAACATCAATGATGAGAGAAAATCATTGATAGACTGCCTCCTGCACATCCCTTTCTGGGGATCAAACCTGCAACCCAGCCATGTGCTCTGACAGAAATTGAACCTGGGACCCTTTAGTCCCCAGGCCGGTGCCCTATCCACTGAGCCAAATCAGCTATGGTGAACCTTCTTTTTCTAACTTCCTCTATGAAATAATCACTGATAAAAATTAAAAGTGATGCCCCGAATGGGTGTCTCATTTGATTGGAGCTTCATCCTGTACATCAAAAGGTGGTGGGTTCGATCCCTGGTCGGAGCATGTATGAAAGCAATGGATCTCTCTCTCTCTCTCTCTCTCTCTCTCTCTCTCTCTCTCTCTCTCTCTCTCTCTCAAAATCAATAGAAATGTGTCCTCAGGTGAAGATTAAAAAAAAAAAATTACCAGTGACAATCAAGAGAGTGACATATTTTAAAAATAGTTTAGCTGTAGTAAGACCCCATACATTACATTATTAAAAGTAAAATATAGCAATATAGCATTCAGCAAGATCATATAATAATAAACTATCCATCCACTGATTCAAGAAATATTTATTGAATAATTAACATTCACTAAGAGTAGAACTTATTTAACATGTTAGGAGGCATATAAGTTAATCAGCTAGATGGGGGGAATCCTTTCACAATGTATACATTTACCAAATCACCACACTGTAAATATCTTATAATTGTATTTGTCAATTATGTCTCAATAAAGCTGAAAAAATAAAAAAGAATATCTACCACGCACAAATCCAGCTACTGTAGGATATTAAGAAGAATCAGCCCCAAAACCAACACTTAAGCAATTTAAAGTTATGTATATCCTTTTCTCTTCCATTCATTTATTCATTCAAATTTTCATTGAATATCTACCATGTTTCAAGCACGATGGTATTTGTTTTTGTTCCTTGTAGCTAAGACCTTGTCACTGCCCGTAAGAAGCTCCCAGCCTGAAAGGACTCAGCAGTTAGAAACACGAAGTGCCGTGTGACATACAGGAACTGGAGGAATCGGGATGGCTCAGTGACAAGTCTGGATTATGGAGAGGATTTAGACATGTAAAATCAGAGGGCAGGTCCTCTTCAGGTCAGCATCAGCCCGAGCAAAGGAAAGGAGGTGAACAACCACAGGATTATTTCTATATAGCATGTGTGACACTGACTAGGGGATTTTTTTTCTAACAAGACTAACTTAAAGATCCCGTCACTAAGAGTTTTATAGTTTTAGCTCTTACATTGAGGTTTTTGATACAGATACCTGTTAAGAAACAGAGTGCTCACAGAACCTGCAAGCATCCTCCCACAGGCCCAGGCAGGGACAGCAAGTTCTACAGGAAGGGAAGGGATAAGCATAGCCAGGCACATGTCAAGGACATGTACTTCGATGAGGCTGCTTCCTCACTGGCCAAGCAGGGAGGATGGAGTTGTGGCTGAAGGTCAAGTGAGTTCAGAGTCCACATACTGCCAGGCAGTGAGGGACATAGTGCCAGTTCTGACTATCCCTGCTACGGTGTGTGTGAACTGCCCAGAGGCACTTCAGGCTCTCAAAGAACTGCCCTTTCAAACAGATAGGGAGGAATGAGCGTTCCCCTTGGCCCTGCCCCAAGACCTGCCACATCTTCCCCCAACCCCCACCCCAACAAAACCAACACGCAATTTTACTCATGAATTTATGTTCCGAGTAATGTTCACTTAATTGCTGTTAAGCCTCTTTCAAATTAGATTATACTACTCAAATTTCCAACTCCATCCAAGTAAGCTCTAACCCTTACCATACAGGCTGAACACAAAAGCAGAACAGTGACACAGCTCTGTGCTCAACAACTCAAGCCACTTTGACAGCAGCCTCTCTGATTTATTCACCGATTTGATCTCTATTAAGCCAGCCTGTATTGCATTCCAGTTTACTTTCTGAAGCATAACTAGTAATGATGATGATTAGTTAGGTGAAGAGAAGAACATTTATGAGACTATGGACCGAAGCTAATGATGAATCATTCTTCCTCCCTTTCAACATACACTGAAAAGATGTGAGTCAATATAGAACAAAGAGAATGGAAACCAGGACCACATTAGCTAGAAAAGAAAACTCCGAGTTCATAGTCAAAGACACACACACCAGTGACTGCTTTAAAAGCCTGTGTTTGGCAAAATGGGATGCCCATATACTCATTAAATTTAAAAGGAAAGAATACCTTGCTGGAATGTATTAAAAGAACAAGTATACACTGAAATATATTGGAACAATGTTTAAATGTCACTACAATTTATTTTGAAAGATCCCACCCAAAGGGATGGTATTCTCAAAATAATTATGGCTTATAAGATAGAACTTATTCTATATAATAAAAGAGTGATATGCAAATTAACCATCACTCCACTACCCCACAAGCCACTCCCACCAACCAATCAGGAGTGAGTATACAAATCAAACCAACCAAGATGGCTGTGGCCACAGAGTGAGCAGGCTTGGGTTTTCCCAGCAATGGAGGAAGCCAAGCTTTTCACACACCCTGGCTGGCCCAGGCCTCCACTAAAGGCTACAAAGTTTCAATTATAGAAGATAAATAAATCCCAGATACCAGGGCCTCTGCTTGGGTTGCTGGGGGGGGGGGGGGGGGGGGGTGGCCAGCCTGCAAACCACCACAACCCCTCCCCCAGGCTGCCCCATGCCCCCAGGGAACTCCCACCCTGATACAAATGGAGATGTATTTACATGGGGGAGGAGTGACTTGGGGGAAAAACTATCAAAACCCACAAGGGTCTTATTGCTGCGACTGTTTGGGGCAGTAGATATCTGGCACTTTATAACATTACATATTTTCACAAAATAATTTTTTAAAATATTTTTAATTGACTTTTAGATAGAGAGAAACATTAATGTGAGAATGAAACAGATTAGCTGCTGCCTCCTGGATGCCCCCTACCAGGGACTGAGTACACAACCTGGGCATGTGCCCTGACCAGGAAAAAGCCAGCAACTTTTTGGTGCATGGGATGACACCCAACCAACTGAGCCACACCAGGGCTAAAATTTCTTCCTTAAAAATAAAAATAAAATAAAATAAAATAAAATAAAAACAACAAAACAAAGAACTCTGTAATTTTAAGCATCTTTATAAAAGGTGTGGATATGACTTTAGTGACTGGTTAAATCACAAAAATCTCCAACACTGGATTTTTATAATCTATTGCTGTTAGAAGTCCAGGCATGAGGGAGGTGGGGGGGGGGGGGGGAAAGAGGGGGGAAGAGCCAATGAAATAAATAATCCAGAGAGTTCTACCCTTATAATCTTTGACTCTTAAACTCTTTCAAAGACTCTTCATATATCCTGATTTAGGTTTGCAACAGCGGCATTCATTATGGAGCCTCAGAACTATTGCAAAAACTGATATTGATTACGCCTGTCTGACCTTGAATTGTTCCATTTGATGATCTAAATCACATGTGTCAAACACAAGGCCCACGGGCCAAATCCGTCCCGCCAGGCCTTGCAATGTGGCCCGCACCGCGCTGTCATCACTGCACTCCGCTGCGTTTCCATCACAATGACAGTTTATGACTGTTCAGTAAACCATTCGGCCCGCGATTTAGGCTGGATTTTAGATTTTGGCCCCTTCTCTGATTGAGTTCGACACCCCTAATCTAAATGAAGACCTTAAATTCAATGGTTGTGTTGAGAAAAATCTCAGTCAGAGATGAAACTAGGCATTCTACTATTTTTCTTCTTGATCAATTGCCCCAACTCTTCTTAATTCGTCGAGAAAATATAAATATTTGAAATGGGTTTAGACAAAATAATTACAATTCCATTTAACTTGGTATTTCAGCTGGCAAGATCACTTAGTTATATTAGACATTAGTAAACACTCGGGTTAGTGG